GCCTGCCATTATGATAATGGAGTGAACCTCTGAGACTGTAAGCCAGCCCCAATTAGACGTTTTCCTTCATAAGAATTGCCTTAGTCATGGTGTCTCTTCACAGTAATGAAACCCAAACTAAGACACCACCCCTCCCACTCTCCTCGTACCTACCCTCTACCCTTGCAACCACCTCCCAACAGAGACAAAAAAATCTCTTTGTGGAAGCTGTAGTGTGTCACAGTATGTCCCACAGTATACCCTTTTGGTTTTTTGCTTGCAAATGTTCATTGCAATGACTCCTTGGTCTGGTACCTAGCCTCTGGCCTCTGGTACTCTATCAATAATGAAACCGCATTATTGGGGGATCTTCTTCGGTATCCTCTTGTTGCCCTGTATCATGAAGATTCTGTAGTTTTAGATCTGTTGGACTGGCCCCTTCATGCACTCCAGCAGTTCATAAATGAGGTAGATGTTAGGGTGGGTCAATTAAAAGCCCTGGATCTGAGCCTGAGAGGTATCTGAACTGATCAACCCAGTGGCTCTCCATCTCTCATGCCCTCAGGACCAACTCAGCAACAACATATGCAACCAGCTCTACCCTGCTGCCCAAGAGAGGTGCAGGGCCTGCTCTCCTGAGTGTTGCAGCCAGTGAGAGACATGGCCAATTCTCCTATTCTCATGACTCCAGGGCCAGCTCCCCCACCTGCCTTGGCTGGTAAGGGGTGAGTGATGGGAGGAGGGCATCTCTCCTTCATCTGTGCCACCTCCCAGCAGACAAGAGATGGGCTATATCCAGATTGGAAAATGTAGATCTTGTATTGTTGTTGTTTGTTTTTGTTTTAGATTTATTTTACTATGTATATAGTGTTCTGCCTATATGTATGCATATACACCAGAAGAGGGCACCAGATCTCATAATAGATGGTTGAGAGCCACCATGTGGTTGCTTAACCCCTGAGCCATCTCTTCAGCCCCTATAGATTCTGTTCTAAGAACACAAAACAGCTCTGTAGAGAAAGTTCAGCAGACGGGAGCAGGTGTTGCTCTTGCCCAGATTCACTTCCCAGTACCCACATGGCAACATAGAACTGTTTGTAACTCCAGTTTCAATCTCCTGATTGAAAGCTTCTTCTGACCTCTGTGGGCACACAGGCACATATGCGGTACACATGTCTCCATGTAGGCAAAATATCCATCCACATAAAATAAATGAACTTAAAAATAAAAACAGAACAAATAAAAATTGCTAGTACTTTAATAACATTATTTGATTACCACTGAAGAGAAAAATTTCAGTGACATTTTGGTCTTATTCCATTGAAATCTCTATAATATAATATTTGATATAAACTGTGAGAGAAAAGTGCAGTTAAATTACATCCAAGCAAAATTCCTTAAACTTAGTCCTTCTTGCCCAATTTATATAAACTAGTCACAGTCTTATCCTGCGTCATCTTTCAGGACATTTATCACTGACAGACTTGATACATTGGGATACACACACACACACACACACACACAGTCACACACACACACTCACACACACTCACACACACCCACACACACACACATGGCTTGTTGGCTGTCTTTCTCCCAAGAAGAATAAGGCCAACAATGTACAGAGAACTCATTATGTTCTTATTGGATCACACAAAAATTTACCCAGGAAAAGGTTTAGTTTTTAAGTGCTATTTTAAATAACCATTACAATACATTCTGGTGGGCTATGGTGGCACATGCCTTTTGAATATCTGAGTTTGAGGCCAGCCTTGTCTACAAAAGGAGTTCTAGTACAGCCAGCGCCATGCAGAGAAACCCTGCTTTAAAAACAAAAAAAAAAAAACAAAAAAAAAAAAAACAAAAAAAAAACAATGAAAGAATCAAAGCTTTATTTAATTTAAATAAAAACTTTGAAATAACAGGAAGCTGAAATCTGTGCATTTGACAAACTAACAGCTATAACTGCAGTATACAAAAATTTATGTTCTAAATTTTAGTAAAAATATTGAGATCACTGGCTGATGGTTTTTAGGTAGAAAAAAAACCCCTGTGGTAGCATTAAGATTACACTAGTTTACTCAAACTGTAATGCTTCCTACCATCCACACATGGGAGAAGTGGCTGGAGAGATGTCTCAGCAGTTAAGAGCATTGACTGTTCTTCCAGAGGAGCGGGTTCAGTTCCTACCACCGACATGGCACCTCACAACTGTGTAGAACTCCAGTTCTGAAGGATCTGGCACACTCCCACGCACATACGTGGAGGCAAAATACCAATGCACAGTAACCAAATATATGGAGGGAAGACAGCAGGGCAACAGGAAGATAACCAACTAAACTCTTATCCAGAGCCTCTGCCTCTGGAATGGATGACTTAATTTCTCTGTTTTCCAGCACTCAGATTTATCCTCCTGACCTCCTTTAGTCCCTGTTATAAAGTTAATCCCCTAGGGCTAGCAAGATGATTCAGTGGGTAAAGGTACTTGAGTCGCCAAGCCTGGTGACCTGACTTCCATCCCCCAATTTGCAAATGGTGGAAGGGGCTGGCTCGCACAAGCCATCTGTTGACCCGCTCATGTGTGTGGTACACACACTAGATAATAAATGTAATAGTAATTTTTTAAAAAAGCCTCTCCCCACAATTCACGAAGTTTAAATGCCCAGGACTTCCTGTTTATTCTAGTTTCCAGCACGTTATCAAGATTCCTATCTTCACGGTGAGTCACGGATTTGCCTTTTGTCTACGTTAAAGGTCAGACCTGAGGGCTAACTTCTGCCACATCTGCCTCACTCACTCACCCTTCACTGCTGGATTCTTCCCATTGCTCCCAAAGTATCCCAAGGTCTCATCACCTTAAGCTAACTTGTACTGTATTCCCTAGCTTCATACTGAAATATTTATGTTATAGATGCACCTAACAAAAGCTAATTACTGCTCTGATTGTGGTAGTCTAATAGGAATCTTTGCTTGAAAACTGTAGGATTAAGTAAAAAGTAGAATGTTAAAAGATTTACTCTATTGTGTTGGGTGCTTGTTTAAAGCCTCTGCCTCTTATCTTGGAAAAGCAAACACTTGCAAGAAGCTGCCTCGAGAAATGATTGCCACAACTGTCTGGCTGAAGGTCACACTGCCTGTCCCAGATCCTGTTTGCTAAGAAAGGAATGTTTTTTATTACTAACTGAAAATATTTTTTTCTGTAGTGTCTGTTCCTGTAAACATGTTTAACTATGATAAAAATTCCCCTCAATGGTCATGGTACTCAAAGAGTACACTCAGGTGGTTACACTGTTACCTAACCTACAAAATCTGTGGGACAAAATTGTAAGGGGCTGCATAAGCCCCTTATGGTCCATGTCCTCAAGTAACAAAATGGAGCTCCTATCTCTGTCCAGTTGCCTGATTGATTCTACCCTGGTCAGAATTCCCATGACAAGGGCTCAGTTCCCAGCACTGATATAGGGTATCTCATGGACTGTATCTCCAGCTCCAGGAGATCAAGTTTCTTCTTCTGGCCCTCCAGGAGATCTAGACACACACTGGGGGGCTGGGGGAGAGGATGATATAACACCTCCGTTTCATCCTTTTTTTTTCTTTAATATCTTCACTGCTAAATCAAAGATTAAAGCACAGAATAGACCCCACGTGTTTGTTTCTGTTGCATTCCCCACTTAACAAAAGCAAATTCTTCCTGTGCAGACCTCTCTGCTTCCATTCCATGACTTACTGTTTACAAAAAACACCATTCAATAGCTTCCACAGCCTGGTTGCGAACTGGTCTCAAACATTTTCTTAGACACTGCAATATATCTCTAGTTCATGAACCACTTTCCCCGTGTTGCTGTACTTCTTGTGAGGCAGACATCCCATTTATCAACAAGGCATGCTTCCCCATACCACGGAGAGGACGATGGCTATCCTCAAATTCCCACTAAGGACATTCAACTCTCAGAAGTCTCAGAGTTGGTTCCATGTCTTATCACTCCTTAGAGAGAATGTGCAGCTAATTGTACGAGAGGCACACAGTTCCATACCACACAGGGAAAAGCAGCTGTACCACAGATGGCTTCTGTAGACCCTCTACCCTGAGATGGATCATCTTAGTTATATGTCTGATCACCCAAACAAGGGTCACGCAGTCAATCTTCTCCAAGCTAGACTTGAGTACCTGAGACATCAAAGTCTACCTCTACATTGACACACTTTCCTGAACAATGCCCATACCTACTCCAACAAAGCTGCACCTCCTAATACAGCCAATTATTTAAACATGTGAGTCTATGCCTAGTCAAACAATGTTCAAAAATAATAAATACTTTTGTCTGGAATTAAAGCTTTATGGCACAGCATTTGCCTGGCATGCACCAGTCTCGAGTCCAATGTCTCACTCTGTAAAATGAATAAACAAAAACAATTTTAGCTTACATCAACTTACTTCATATAATACCAAAACTAAAAAGTATTAGCTAGCTGTGAACCCTATATTCTACAATACCCATCTAACAAGCAAGATGTGTCACTGGTACCATAATGGTATAAAGGTTATGGAGATAACCAACTATTTGCGGATTAGATTTGAGGTTTGCTCCACTGGAAGGATTTCACACTTGGCATCATAAATCTAATCAAAATCCCATGGCCTGGGAGGTCATATCCCTTAGGAGAAACCTGTTACTATTGCTCTTGCTAAACGCACATGTCATCAAATATCTTCTAGACATAGATTAATATGCCCTCAGTCTTGGCCAGAAAAAAACTTCTCTGAATTAGCCATTAGTTAATACAGAGACACACAACTAGTCAAAGTGCTAAGAGTAAGTGACATATTTAGTGTTCAACCCTAAATGGAGCATCTCTATCAACCCATGACTCAAGGCTCAGAAGAAGGGATGAAAAGAATGAAAAGTCAGAGGATGGGGAGGAGAACTGTGCTGTGGTCTGAGCATGGAATGACTACTCTACTCATAAACTCACCTCAGCTATGGTTACCTACACCGTAGCAAGTTACCTATTCTGTAGCTATGGTTAAATACACTGTAGCAATAGTTACCTACACTGTAGCTGTGGTTACTGACATTGTAGCAATAGTTACCTACACTGTAGCTGTGGTTACTGACATTGTAGCAATAGTTACCTATACTGTAGCTATGGTTACCTACACTGTTGCAACAGTTACCTATACTATGGTTATGGTTACATTGCACAATATCAAGTCAACAAGGTTAGTCAGCCTTCCAACAGGCAGCAGTCATTGCACTCAGCGGGTTATGGAAACAAAGGAGAGGACATGAAGGGTGGAAAAGATGTGTCGGGACCAAGTGCCTGAGGAGACTGTGAAGAGGGACCTTGGGGAAGATATGTTCAAGATGCATTGTTCACAAGTATAAGATTATCAAGATATAAATAAAACATACTGATCTAAAATACAGTATATATGGTTTCTAAAAACATATTGTAATCATAAAAGAAAGAGCCTGTGCTTAGAAAATAATTTCTTACCAATGGAGGAACTATGCCTCTGTAAGTGGTAAGGGAAATAGGCTCATGGTGAAACGTGCAACTTGCTCACATATGTTGTAGTAAGGCTGGGGTTAAAGGAAGATTAAGAGAAGCCAGGCATGGTGGCCTATAATTTTAAACCCAGTACTTGAGAGGCAAAGGCTGGCAAAGGCAGGCAGATCTCTATGAGTTTGAGGCCAGTCATGTCTACAGAGTGAGTTCCAGGACAGCCAGTTATGTAGAGAAACATATTCTAGAAAGACAAAAACAAACAACAACATCAACAAAGAGTTAATACAGCAAAGTGAGAAAGATGAATAAGGACTTATTATAGAGTATGGATAACTAAGGTAGACAGATAGGAGGAAGGGGAGAGCTCTGGGCCAGTGACCACAGTTCCTTGTTTCCTCACAAATCCTTCCAAGCCCTTCAAGAATATATGTAAGTCACTGATATCCTTTTATACTGTTCTAATTTGATTCTCCTGCAGGAATAAAACATTCTGACCAAAAGGAACACAGAGATGGAAAGGATTTACTTAAAGATCACACTCTTTAAGGGAAGCTGAAGCAAAAACCATGAGGATAACAATTCCTGCTGGCCCATTCTGGTTTGAACAATGGGCTCTCCAGAGTAGGCTGGATCCTTTTATATCACACATAAAATTGTCAAAAATCAACCTGATCTAGGCAATCCTCAGTTGTGTCGTCTTTTCTCAGATGACTCTGTGTTCAGTTGACAATTAAGGCTAATCAGGGCATGTGTGGTCTTACTTCTGATATAATTGACCACAATAAGTTAAACTGTAAAAAAAAATAATGCTGCTAATCAGATGCTTCTACCTAGGAGACCATCTAGAGCATCCTAAAGAAAAGGAGCTAAAAAAGAGATAACAAAAAGAGACTGCATATACTCTCGGGGGGCTGAGATAAGAGTTAACTCTCTGATAGGATAAAGCTACAAGCTGGTCATGTGAATGTGAGAACAAACTGAACGGAGTCATTCCTAGCCAGAGAGATACTTGCAAGGTCAGAGGTAGCAACATTAGCTGACAGGCAAGGTCATTAACAAAACTCATTAGGAATGACTGGACAGAGGAATGGACTGGGTGGGGCAGGTCGGGGACAGCTCATGATCATCTCCCTGGTTGGGCCAGAGAGTCATGCATGGAGAACAAGTGGATCCTCCCTTGTGTCTGCTTATGATAGTCTAGACGATTAACCAACGTCAACAAAAATTACTTTGAGTATCTGCCATCACCCTATAGAAACCCCAGACAAAGAAATTCAATGTCTTGTTTCTTTCTCTTTTTCTTTTCTTTTTTTCCTTAGAACACCTCCCAACTCTCAGGAGTTTCTCATACTTTTCCTTAATTTGTCACTTTCCCAAAATATGACTTTTCTGTAATAATTCTCAGCAGAGCATGTTTCTGCTTTGAGGACCCCGATGTGAGTCCAAGTGTTTTACTCTCACGATCCTAAGACAGCAAACTTGATCTCAGAGTCACTGACCCAGGTTGACCTTTTGATGACTATGAGAGTCTGGAATGTTAGAACTCTGGGTCAATCAATTGGATCAAGGGAAAGCCAACATCTCTCAAAACCTGCATCACCACTGTGAAATCAAATGAAGACTATCCAAAAGGAGATCAAACAGAGGACATCTATTTAATGCTATGTACAGCAAGGAAATCAGCTACTATAACTTGTATTTTGGAAATTTCAAGTCAGACTAGAGAAAAAGACAGCCTTTTCATAAAGAAGAAAAAGAAGGGACTTGGATATTTATGATTAGATGTTTTATGCATGAAGGTAGAGGACAGACCAACCACTGACTGACTGAGGGATCATGGTTGGGAACTGGAATTCTTAGCAAGTCCTTACCTATACCAGGTGTAGGTTTTAGTGGTTGTGGCCCTGCAACCCAGTTCTAGAGTAATATACAGTCTGAGTATTAGCTGTGTGAATATTCTGTCCCTCACCATTAAACAAAGAAATTCCATATAAGTCAAAATGCTTGTTCCTGCATTCAGCAAGTTTTATCTGAATTCAGCAAGTTTTATGTGCATAGTATGTCAAAGCACTGTAATGAAAATAGAAAATAAAGATGACATTCATAAACGGGAAAGGCTGCATAGTTTGGACTGATTTTGAGAATTTGAGGAGATAGACTCTAGTATATCATCTTTTTATTATTGGAAGAATTATCATGGAAGTAATCTCCTCATATTATTTTTTAATTAATTAATTTGGTTTCTTTGCAACGGGGTTTCTATGTGTAGCTCTGCATGTCCTGGAATTGCCTTTGTAAACCAGGCTGGCCTCAGACTCATCTCTCCACCTGTTTCTGTCTCCTGAGCACTGTGTGCCACTGTGCCTGGTTAGAGGAAGTAACTTCTAGCCTGAGCTTTAAGAGTATTAGCTAGATAAGGTATGAACAGAGGAAAGTGGGCAGAGAAGTGAGCTCCAAGTTATTCATATGGAATAATTTTGATTTATGTGATTTGAAATAGAACTTACCTCATTCTTCCTTTTAATAAGCTGGTTTTTAAAAACAAACATGAATTGTCTATGCTTTCATATTTAAAAATCTATTTTGAAGAACAAATAAGCCAATAAACTGAGTTCTGCTGTGCACCTTACTTTTTTCTCCTCTCTTTTCTTGGGTAGGTAAATGCTATTCGGAAATCTTTAAGACTTTAATTGATTTGCTTTAAACTCAACTACTATTCATTCCAGTAGAACTCAAGCAGTCCTTCAACCCTAACACACATCTGATATTTCTTGCAGCGTGTTATTTCTCAAAGATATGAAAAAATTTCAATTTTCTTTCCTAGCCCATGTTCTGTTGCTAAAGCAAAATATCGAAGGCTGAGAAGTTAATAATAAATAGAAGTTTATTTGTCTCACAAGGATGGTGCTAGCCAACATCTGGAGAGGACTGCCTTAAATATTTTCACATACTCAAGCATATCAAACATCCTTGGGCCAGGCCGAGTTTTAGTTCCTGTTCTTACAAAGCTACCAGTTCTACTGAGGTGGCATGGTAGATAATGGGGACAGCATGATTTACTCTGAAGATCATAAGAATCCCAAGAGCTTTACCTCCTAATACCACAAATATACAAACTCATGGGCTCAGTTTAAAACACGTGCAATTTCGAATACATGTAGAACTATAGGACTTCTCATATTGCCTTCTTCTAAAGTATTTACATACTAAATCCGTAGTTACTTTTCACTACAAGTTTGTCCTAACATTCCAAACCTCTAATTAGAGAAGTTAAGGAACACAATCAGGATCTAGTGTGCAGGGACTTAATACTTTTATCCTAATAAGTGAGACTGGTGAATGCAACCTGGAGGTGATGATCTACAAGACACTACACACTGGCTTGGAGAGATGCTCATTTGCTCTGGCCTGACCTTGGTATGGGTGGAATGACATGGCTCCCGCCCCTGGAACAGGGCCAACAGGGTGTGGCCCTCCCTGAATGTTGATGGCTGCTGTGGGCTTAAAGGCCTGTTTGTATAATAATGTACATATTTTCACGTTTCTCCTTCAAGGAATGTCCTCCCTGTTAGCATTAATGACTCCATGATAATCAGAGACAGCATGAGTGTATGGTGTGTGTGTGTGTGTGTGTGAGTGTGTGTGTGTGTGTGTGTCTGACGTCTTAGCAAAATGATACCCCAGCAAAATGATAGCCCAGTGTAAGAGGCTAGGTGTGGAGAAGCATACTTGTAATCCTACCCTTGGAAAGCAGGGACAGGAAGCTCTCCAGAGCTCACTGCCAGCTGGTCTTGTTGAACCTGTGAGTTTCAGATTGAGTAAAAGAATCTCAAAAACTAAGGTAAAGGGTAAAAGTGGAAGTCATCCACATTTATCTCTGGCCTACACACATACACACCCATACCCACACTCACACTGATACATGCTCACACACACACACACACACACACACACACACACACACAGGCACACACACACACACACACACACACGCGCACACACACAGGTACACACAAGGGCACACCCACAAAAGGCATATAAAGAGCATGCATTATACAGTGACAGAATACACTGCTCTCTTCATTTGGAGTGCAATCCTCCACCTACCCATCCTGTTACTGTCCGTTCCTCTTTCTTCTCTCCCTCCTTTCCATCCCTACCCTTTCTGAGTTACAACATTGACTTGAGTGGAATGTTTAACTAAAGTAAAACATTTCTTGGGCAAGTGAGTAAAACATTCCTTGGACAGGTAAGGTGAGTCGACAGGTGAAGGCGCTTGCTATGTAAACCTGACAAGCAGAGTTCAGCCTCTAGAACCTGTCATAGAAGGAGAGAAACCAACTCCTGAAATTTTTCCTCTGCTTTGCGCATGAGTGTCATGGCATACACATGCTCCCCCAACATACACATCACACACATATACAGTAGACACACACTAAAATAGGAACGTTAAAAAATTCTCTATTTAAATTGTATCTTTCGAGTGAGTTCCAGGACAGCCAGAGCTATACAGAGAAACCCTGTCTCGAAAAACAAAAACAAACAAACAAAAAACCCAAAAAAACAAAACAAATTGTATTTTTTACCCTACTTCTGGGATTCCTCATAGGAGAACATAGGTTAACTATGAAAAGATAAACAGTTTTTGAAGAGAAAGGCACTCGCTGGTTCAAAAGAGAAAGAGAATTCATATTTATTGATGTACTAGAT